GTCATAGGCAAAATCTTAATAGCTTTCCTGAAGTGTTCCTGCGGGGAGAATAAAGTGGGTTGTTATTAACTGGTTTCCTTTTCATGTTCTGATTTCTGTCTTCTTGTTGTTGGCGGTTTTTTATTAAGATAGTGGGAGCAGGGAAGTGGGCAGTAATTGAGATATTCTGGACTTTCCATATCCATGTTGATTTTGTTACAGTACAGAAAGATGTGTGGACTGAGACCCACAAGGGTACAGAGTGAGAAATACAGGCTGCTGAAAGCCATGGTGTTACTGTGGGGGCATGACCTGATGCAGAGAAATTGGCACGCACTTCAAAAGTGAGCCTCTCCAACTTAGAATTCATATCAGGGTCTCTGCTTGGCAGCAAACAAACAGCTATATTTCTTTGGAACGTAGGGATTATCTATAGTTATGTTTTAAAATCAGCCTTGCAAAATTCTACCTACCCATTTGCCCAGGGTAAGTGATTTTTTTTTCTTTTGACAGGCGAGTAGACTATCATATCATTTTCATTATAATTATCTTGGTAAAGAGCAGGTGAGCAGTTTTTGTTTTTTTGCTTGGGCTGGTAATTTTTAATGATAATTTATTGCAAAAGGCACAGGTGCTGGAACTCGGGGTGCTGCTGCACCCCCCGGCTTCAAGTGGTTTCCATGATATTCAGGGTTTACAGTTTGGTTCAATGGCTCTCAGCACCCCCACTATACACATTGTTCCAGCGCCCCAGGCAAAAGGAGGAATCTCACTGATGAAGACGGAGAGTGGGGGTATTTGGTCTACCTGTTCAGACCCACTGAGCTGCTATCAAAAATCATTTAATATATATTCAATAACCCACTTCAGAAATGCAGTAATAATAGTTACCTGCATTTTTCAGTTAGTTGAAGGTGCCTGGTGTCTTCAATCTCATTCCTTGCCATACCCAGAACCATGTTTTGCTGATTAGACACCTCGATAGGAATCTATGCTGTCTATGTCACAAGGTAACTGGGAAGGGAGGTTATGTCATTATGCTCACTGGACTGCATGGATAATTTTTTTCCTAGGTGTCAAATTCAAGATGATGACTATAATATATGAAATAGTTTGGTTTCTAGCATCTGTAGAGAACTCTTCTCTTCCCTTGCACCATCCTGAAAGTTGATTCAAACTCCAGCAAACTGAAGTAAGCACAATTTTAGTAGGAAGTATTTAGCTCTTGGCCCAACAAAGTACAAGTCTGTTGACTTTTAGGGTAAATTTCAAAGATTATATATTCACTCAGGACTTTTCTAAGTATTGTAAGGGGAGTGGGGAGGATACATGTCTTTTGTCGTCTATTTTAAGTTGATTCGAGGGGGGCAGATGGAGGGGGACTGGGCTTTTTTGTTTGTTTTCCAACATTTTTACTACTACAAAAAGCATTCAGAGGAAGGAAGGAAGGAAGGAAGGCAGCGAGTAGTTGGGTCTTGGACCAGGAAAAGGCTTTTGAGAAAGCAATGCTGTACTAAAAAGAAAGTGAGGAACCAGTCTGGGGTCAGAGGTGGAATTAGCAGGAAGTCAAACAGCAGGAAGACGAGATGAAGGTGCAGGCTAATATTTAAAATGGTCTCCACTACCTGGCAGTAGCCATTTTAAGTATTTGACACCCAAATTTTTATTTTTATGATGAATCTGAACAAAAATCCAGCAAATGGCCAGATTCCCATACAAACAAAATCCAGTTCAGAGATCTGCCACATCTCTCATAATACTCTTACATTATTTACTAGACATTTAGTATAACATCATCATTGTGTTTTTCACCAGTAACAAATAACATAATATGTATTTACTGTTGTAATAACAGTATCCCATCTTCTAAATTGTTTGTTTGTTAGAACAGGTTTGTTTTAGGCCTGTTAAGGGATTTTAAAAAATGATTGACAATGGATATGTTTTCCTTTCCTCAAATGCTGAGACTATGCAACAGGAATAGAGATTTAAAAGAGGCATTAATTCACCCAAAATAACATTTTCACAGTATAAATGAATATTTATAATCTGTTCCCTTTTGTCTAGGGTCCATCGGACTCACATCTCAAGTTTATTAATAGAAACTCCACTCTACCATCATCCACTCCACTCCACCATCATCTTGTTATAATTCTCATCAGCCCTCTGATGGAGTCAGTAATTGCTTTAATTATGGCTGAAATCTACCAGCAGGAGCTTACAAGAGGCTGTCAGAACCTGTATTAAAATTCAGACCATCTCAATTCTATTGCTGGAAGAAGTGATGGTGAGCCAGGGAACTAGGGAGGAGTGGGAGAGAGAGACTGAAATACTATTGCTATCTTTCTACAGTAAGATAAGCAAACCAATTAAAAGGCTTGCCATCCTGTAATTACCAGGGAGTCCTGTATTATAGAGGAAGCTACAGCTTTGTTACACAACAAACAGACTACTTGTAATTTAACATGAATAATGAGCCAGATGCATGAGCAAGACTCTATTAAACTGTTATCGCAAGCAGCCGTGTCCCGCATTGATTAATGATTCCATGTGTCATCAAGGAAAGGGACTTCATTTTAAAGCATGTGGATCATCGTCATCAGTGATGCCAGTGCAACCGGCTGCCTGTTTTCAACTTTACACCCTGAATGTGGTAATTAGTAAGAGATGTTAAGAGGAACAAGAAGGGCTTCTTCAGGTATGTTAGCAACAAAAAGAAAGTCAAGGAAAGTGTGGGCTCTTTACTGAATGAGGGAGACAACCTAGTGACAGAGGATGTGGAAAAAGCTAATGTACTCAATGCTTTTTTTG